TTAAGATTCAAAGAAATTTAGGTAAAATAAAACAACATAATCAAAAGATCAAAGGCTTGTGTTGGTTGTTTTCATTTATACAAATGACATTCAGCTTAAGTTATAAATAATACTTCACAGTACACTACTGAATGCTGTCACATTTCATAAAACAATTAAGCCTTAGTAATAGGAAACACATCTATTATCCTGTCTATATTTAATATTTACCGAGGAGTGATGCATGTCTTATGACTGTTATCATGTCTGAAAACAAAAGAACACAAATAATGAGGATGTTTTCAAATTTACATTTCTACTTTGGTCCCCATCTGTAGTCTCAGGTACTTAAATGCTCATCAACAGTGACAGGGTTTGTGTAACAAGGATTTCCCAGAATTTCCTTGCCATAACTTTCCCCCTTCAAAAGCAGTGACAAAACCTGCTCTAATTATAACTGCTGTGCCAGGGCAGGCAAGCAGCTCCTGCTGATGGTGCAGGGGGAGAGGCCAGCTCCATTCTTGCCTTCTGCTGGCAGAGGAAGGGTCGGGAAAGCACGCAAGGCACATCCGAAACAGATCCATTTGGCACGAGGGGCAGAAGCTCCAGCCAGGAGAACCCAAACCCCTTCCTTCCCTGAGGTGCTCTCACAGTGACTCATTGCTCCAGGAGCGCAGCTGGGTGCCCAGGGGACTCGGGCAGCCAAGGAAAGAGCGCCTCCAACCTCTCCATCGCCAAAAGGGCAAGGCATGGTCGCTGCTGGAATTCCCTGTCTGCCCAAGGGCACAGCAGGAGCATGGAGCTGCCAAGACACTGCCAGGCAGCAGCACAGGACTCTGAGGTGTTCATTTACAGCCCCACATTTGGAAACTGCTGGCTCAAGGAGGAGCAAAACTTCTAAAGCCTGCCACCCACTGCCTCAGTCAGGAGCTCTCAGCCTGGTCAAAATGAAACTGCATTTCTCCAGGAAAACTATTCTCTGGTGACAGGTGTTTGCCAAGCATCACCTGAGCTCTCAAAAGAGGGACATTAAAAATTACAACTTCCGTTTTATTTACAATGCCACTAATCAAGATTCCCTGAAATTCTAGATAATACTTAATTAAGAAATTAAAAACCATTTGCACTATTGATTGTTTCAGTTGGCTTGCCTTGTTTTGATTTTTAGGGATGATCTTTTATTTGGTTGGGGTTTTTATTCATTTATGTATTACTTTTACTATTTCTCTAAGCTTAATTAAATGACAAGACTGCATTTCAGATTAGATTTTGGAAGCGCAAACACCTGCAGGAGACTACCAGATAATGCTTTATTTTCCAGGTTTCCTCCTACCTTAGGTTTTTATTGTATATTCTTACTAAGCATCTATCTTTGGTACAATCTGAATTAATCTTTATATCATTAATTACTTCAGGAAAGCAACTTTAACTTCTACTTAATCTAAAAGACACCAGAATGTCCCTCACAAACTTTGCAATGACAAAATAACAAAAATTAAAGGGGAAAAAAATTACCTCACAGCTTTCTGTTCCAATATCTTGTAAATAATCTGCTGGGTATAGAAATGTATGGCATAAATACTATTCTGAGAACCAAACTGTAAAATGCATTTCTCTCTGGCAGATGTACATATTTAATTCACTTTTCGTTTTTTCGTTTGCCAATCTTTTCACAGCGGGGCGGGAAACTGAACTTTTGGTTTATCAGTTTATAAAAAAAAAAAAAAAAGAGAAAAAAGTTTTTCATTTTGTGGGCCAATGTGTCAGATTTTCAGCAGAAGAGCCAAAACATCATTAAGATATTTAACTCCTTATGTGCAGGGTAAAACATAAATTAGGGTTAAGAAATGCTGCTTAGCCGCTGGCATCCTGATGTCAGCATCCAGCCATGGAGTGGATGGTTTAAGAGATGAAAAGGGAGATTGCTCCCTGCAAAGGAGATTTCTGTGGCTGTCACTCTCTTTGCAAGGCAGGAGCTGCAAGGGACCCAAGGTTCCGCTTGCAGCCCCAGTCCCATCCCATCCCGTCCCGTCCCATCCCTTCCCTCTGCCGATCCCAGCCCTGGCACTCCAGGGCTCAAGGGATCTTCCAGCCACGGACACAGGAGCAGCCGTGCTCTAAAGCCATCAGGTCCTCCTCAGGCAGGGACAGTGGCACATCCCCTCCATGAGTGTGTCCCCAGTTCCAGCACAGTGCCAGGGACAGAGCGCAGATCTGCCCCGAAGCAGGACAAGACAGGGAGCCCTGCCGAGTGCCAGCTGCAGGGTGGGCACGGCTGGGAGCACGGGAGCAAGGCCATGGGCATTGTCAGGCTCCCCACCTGGCATACCTGTGCTATTCACAGCAAGTTTTTCCTCCTGCTGGTTTGATTGGGGGACAAACACGCCCACGTTGGCATTTGCTACACAAAATCATGACGTGTTTAATACAGTGGTTTCTGCGTTTCAGGCTACAGGGGACATGGGTACAAAACATTGATTTCTGAGCATGTTATTCATAGTTTTGGTGCAATTCGAGAGAAACTAACAAGTTCTTTGCATGCAACAACAATGTCAGCTAAATAGAGATGTATTACATTGAGGATATTTGCTGCTCAACAACAAATTAAAAAAGAAAGATAATACCTTAAACCCAGACTCAGGCAAACTACAGTTTAATAACCTTGTCACAGCAGAAGTTTTTCTTCTTTTTTTTCCCCTGTAACAATACCCTGACCTCCCTTTTCACTCCTTCAACTGCCACCAGTAGATTTATTCTTTTACATGCATTTTCATGCACCTTTATTATTTTAAGCAAGTTCCAACTGTTGGGGCTTTTTTCCTGAATGTATAAAAACAGCTCTACAGGTGTGTATGGCAATGTAATGAACCTGCATAGAGCCCTCAATGAGCTGTTTGAAAGGCTCTGTGAAGCCTTGAATAATTTCTATTGTGCCAGTGGGTAAGGGAGTCCAAGTGCCAATGTAAATAGGTTTTCCTGGACCTAACACAGCCATTTACATTCACAAATGTATTTCAGCACCATAAATTACTGAGGGAAATGGTAGCAATTTAAAGAGACTGGGGTTACAGGGTGTGGAGAACTCAGTGGAGGTCCTCTGTGGAAGTTTTATACTCTTCTATCTATCCAGATTGTTCTCATCATGGATAAATGATAAAGTGAATATTATCTGTAGGAAACCAGCTATAAATGAGGAAAAGGTGTATAAATCCACGGGTGCAAAGAAAATTTACTTTCTTGCATGTATCTTAAGTCAAGTAGAATGAATGATATGCATCAAGAGGTGCTTAAGAAAAGGCTTTGATATCTGAAATTTCAGGACTTGTTATATGCTTGCATAGATGAAGGAGATGAGAAGGAGGAAAAAAACCCTACGTTTCCTCCTAAAAGCATCAAATATGAAACTCTTACAAATATCGACCATGCAGAAAACTTCAAGAATACCCACAACTTTAACACACTTCTCAACAATCTAAACAGCAGAACATTAGAAACAGATTTCACTATCTCCTCTTCCCTACCCATGCCACCCCCAAAAAAAGCCACTAAGAAGACTTATTGCAAACTCCTTGCTTTCTGTCCCAAGAGCAAACACATGAACAAACCTGTTTTGTTAGCAGCCACCTTATTTCAGCACCTCAGACTTTGCCTTTACCTGCAAGGGATTTCCCCCTAAATGCCACAAGCTAAGAAAACTGTCAGGGTAGAGATGCAAAAGCACCCAGAGCTGGCTGATGCAATGTTTGTTTCAGAGCTATCCACTAAGTTTTCATTCTCACATGGCTCACCTGACTGAGCCCAGGATGAATCATCCCAAACTTCACTCTCACTGCTGGGACCATCAGCCCTGCTGGGGAAAGCCTCTCTGCACACATCAGGTATTATATAAAACTCAGCTAGGAAGAGTGTTTAATTACATCATCTGTAAGCCCTGCCACATGCAGAGCTTAGACCAGCTCCTAAATTATCTCAGCTGTAAACTGACAGCACATTGAGCATCCCCATGGCTGGGGAGAGCCTTCAGCTAATTTACCTGGGGCTGGAGACACCCTTTCCTTGCAGGGACCAGTAACAGCTCTGTGTTTTCTGCCCTCCCAGCTGAGAGGGCTCATCCCTGAGCACACTAGAACATTAGTTACTGGTGGCGTGCTGCCTCCACAGGGGCTCTGCAACCAGAATTAGGTAACACTCAAAAACTTTTTGGCACGGACCTTCCCAGCCAGCAATCCTTTTGGCAGATGCTGGCAATCAGCAGCTCCTAGCTGGGAACAGAGGAGCAGACCAGCCCCCCCGACACAGGTGTATTTACAGGAGGAACAAAAACATTTATTTGCCATCAGACACGTGAGGCAAACGCAGAGCCACGACAAGAGAAGACCGTGATTATGAAAGGACCGTCCTGCTCAGGCCCCAGCGGGGCATGTGGCACTCGGTGGCCTCAGCCACGCCTGGGCACAGCACCCCCCTATCTTATCTTATCAGCCCCCCGATCTTATCAGCTGCCCGGGCTTACGCAACGGCGGCGGGCGCGGGTGGGAGCGGGCAGGGAGGGGACACCGCGCTCCGGGAGAATCCCCACAGCCAAACCCCCACGGGGAGCAGCGCTGCCGCCAGAAAGGCTTTTCCCATCCCCTTGAGGAGCGTTTGGAGGCGCCGGGCTCACGGGCGGCTGTGTTCCCACTGAAAAGGGCAAAGCTCTAATCCCCAGCCAGCCGGGCAGGAGCCCCGACTCTGGCTCGGAGTAACTCTGAACTTCACCCGCGTTCCCCGTCACGCTCCCCGTCTCCCCTGGCGCAGCCACTACCCCGAACCTGGCGGCAGCAGCAGGGCTGGGAGCAGCAGCCCGCTCTCTGCCTTAAGATCGGGGAGAGCTCTTTCAGGCTTCGGGATGAAGAAGGAGCCCCGTAGGTGTCAGGCGGGTCCGGCGGTGCCGCGGCCAGGCAGCGGCGTGAGGGCAGCGCCGCCGGACCCTCGGGCCGCCTCCCCAGGCAGCGAGAGGCGCCCGGCCGGCCGGCACCCACCTGTAGGACACCTGCTTCCTGAAGGTGAGGCTGCGCAGCTTCTCCTCCAGCGACTCGTCCGCCGCCGACAGCCCCTGCTCCTCCGGGATCCCGGCGGCGCCCGCCGCCTCCCCGCCGCCCTCGGCGCCCCGGCAGCCGCCGCCCGCCGCCCCCGTCTCCTCCCCGCCGGCCGCGGGGGGATTCATTGCGCCGGGGCAGCGGGGCCGAGCAGCAGCAGCAGCAGCAGGAGGCGGGGGCAGGGGAGGCCCGGCCGGCGGCTGCAGGCGCTGGGGGGCGGCCGGGGCGCCGCAGCTCCCGGGGCCGCGGGGCGCGCTGCGAGCCGCGGCGGCTGCAAATGGCAGCGCGACCGCGCAGCATCCATCGGCGGCCGCACTGCAGCGGGGCATTGTGGGAAACTCCTGCCCGGCCACGCCCCCGCCACGCCCCGCCCGCCGCCGGCCAATGGCAGCGCCGCGCCCCCGCCGCGCCCCCGCGGCCGCGCCCAACCGCGCCACGCCCCGCGGCCGCGCCCCGCCACACGCACCGAGAACATCTTCCGAGAGAACACATTCCCAGAGCACACCTTCCCGAGCGAGCATCTTCCCGAGCGAGCACAGGAGCCCCGGGGCACCCAGCGCTGCCCTCGTCCGCCAATCGCTTCCCCCCGTGATCTCAGTTTGGTGCGCTGAGTCTCAAAGCGCCCAGGGGCAGAGACACCTGACGAGCATTACGGTGCCCTTCCATAAAGTTAGTTGCACTCCCACCTCATCTCTTTCTTCATTAGGGACACTAAGGAAAACTTCAGAGGGAAGTGTCAGCGTGTTTCAGCACAAGATGTGACAGTGACAATAAGATGGAAAAGTACAGAAAAGGTTGAGGTCTGCGGCTATACAGATATTATTGCAGGAATTATTGCAGGTCTACAGTTATACAGAAATTACTGAAGGAATTAGGCACAGACTTTGTTTTCTGTATGCAAAAGTTCCCTGTGGTAATGCAGTCCAAAATAGAAAGACATTAAAAAATAAAAATAAAAATGAAGAAGCATGAACAATTACGCTCTACAGAGAAGGCAAACCCTGCAGGAAGAGATTTCAGTAACTCCTGTGCTCCACAGAAGGCTTCCCTAAACAGCCTTGCCTCTTCTGGGTGAGCCCTGTGCCAATCAGGTTCGTGACAGTCAGCAGATGCCTTACACCTGATCCTCTCTCCTTTCCAATTCCATTCCCAGATTACTTTTAATTACTAGTGAAACACGTAAAGTATAATTAAGCAATATAAAACCCTTGCTTGTTAGAAGCCAAACTAGGGTTCCTATGCAGGACTGCAAAAGGAAGGTCTGGATCCTCCTCTGAGCTGTGTGCAGAGAGATCTTCAAACCAGCATGGAGCTCCACTGGAACCATTGGTCTTTTTCCATTGAGAGCTGGAAAGTCTCCGGTTGAACTTCCAGGGAAATCAGCAGTGAATGTTGCTTGTGAAAGCATTCAATTTAAGACCATGTAACAAATATTTTTTTCAGAACCAAACTAAACCATCTTGAGTTGGAGCTGTCAAAGAGCAGCTCAGAGCCAGCCCAAAAGTCAGCTTTGAGGATGGGGAGTGGCACCATAGGTCCCTCTCTTATCAGTGCTATTCAGAGGTTTTGTCATTGGTGAAAATTGTGTGGCCTGTTGCTATGAGAAGATGCCAATGACATGTGCTAAAAATCCTGTAACTGCAAATTAATTTTCACTCGGAGAGCAGAACACTGTGCATCATCTCACAGCTTTATTCTCTCAGCCTCTGGCCCACATGAGAACAGCTCTGCCACCGGCTCTGTGCCCCAGCTCCACCTCCCCCAGAGCATTTGGAGCACAGCCTAACAACCCATCAGGGTTTCCTACTCCCTCTCCAGTGAAGTTCCATGCCACTGAGCCACCTCCTCCTCCAGCACAACCTCTCCTGCAGCTCCTGCTTGTCAATAACCCTTCTTTTATCCACATGACCAAATTTACACCCTGCTCCGGGATCACCTATTTTTCCTCTGACTGCTGCAATTTGCATGACTCATTTGCAACATGAGGAGCTAAATTGACTTCCTTTGCCTTTTTTTTTCCCTGAATATGAGCAATTATGAGAGAGTCTGAGGCTCGTGAAGGAAAGCCCTGCTTAGCTGTTACACCTGTGGTGGGGCTGCCAATCCCTGTGGCTACAGGAAGGCAGCAACAGTGGAAACTTTGTAGGAGTATCACGTTTGCTCCAAGGTGTGGCTGCAGACACACCACAGGCCAGGAGGTAAAGCATGAGCACGAAAACAGATTTTTAGCAGGTTTTGCCAGTATCTGGGATTATCACGCTAACAAAAATTCCGAACTCCCAGGTCTGGGTTAAGTGCTGTCAGGTTAAATGGAGCACCCCACACCAACTCCGTGGTGCCTGCCCTGATTGTCGGGGAGAGCTGACAAGGTTCAGCAGGTGGGGAGTTCCTTTTCCTGGGTGGGAACTTCTCACCACACTGCATGCCATGAATAGCAGGGTGGAGGGTGGGAATGATGGAGGAGCTGCAGCGAAAGGAGGGATTTCAGCCTTTGGAGTAAAGCCAAAGGAAGGTTTATTCCATTACTCACATGCCTGTAAAATCCCATTTTGAACACTCCAGTGTGCACAGACTGTGTGCACTGTGCTAAGTTTTATTGCAGTGGGAGGGACTGAAAATTCTTTTTCTAATAGAAAAGAGATGGATTTATGAAAAAGGGGATTGGGGAGGAAAAGGATGAGGCAATCTTACTTGTTCAGTGTGCCTGGCTAGCCAGTGAGAAGTCAGTCTACTTAAATGTTCCATATTCCTGAAGTTCACACAAAATTCAATCCCAGGTTAGCCCCCAACATTCAACTTTCAAGAAAAAAATTACAAAGCATATAAAAATATATTTATACACATAGACATGTGTATGCATGTATTTGCATCTCCTCCAGTTGTAAATATTTTTTTTTTAATGTGACATAAATGGCCAGCTTTGCTTTCCAGATCCAATGCTGATAGATTGGATCCACCCACAACATCATTCCCTTTTGGTCAGCATTTAAAGTCTAGTGGAGCACTGCTGATCCATTGGGAAACTGAGGGATGCTGAGGCTCAGCAAGGAGGGACCCACCTCAGCTGAGCAGATCAAACACAGATTTTTATCAGAAAGGTTTTAAAAAGAGGGCTAACCAGACTCTAAGCATTGCTTTAGACAGAGAAAATGAGACAATCCAACAGTCATGAACTTATTCTTAGCTTCCCTCAGCTGTGCCACAGCAATGACAGGGGTTAGAACTTTTAATTTCCTTCTTACTGGAGAGACAAAAATAGTAATTTTATACCAATGTATAGAACTTAGTGTAAGACTAATTCAATAATGAAAGCATAACCATTTGAAGCCCACAGGGAGACAACACCAAGAAAATGAGAAATCAAATAAATCACTTTGACTTTTTGAGGCACAAACTGGAGGGAGACAAGACATGCAAGCATTATTATTCACAAGAAATGAAATTTGCTTTTGTTTCCAATTGCTATCTCCTTTGAATCACCTTGCTTTGCTTAATCTCAGTGGGATTTACAGAGAGGAGGAAGCTACCAGCGGCTTTGCAGACCAGGAATCTGAAGCATGGAATAAACAAGGCAAGCCAAATTCACCAGCATGCCACAAGCATGAGGCCCATGGCTCTAAAAAAATCCTAAAGCAAACAAATCAGGAAAGGGAGCATCAGGAATGAATCTTCCATGAAATACCTTCAAGGGGGGACGAAGTCTGTGCTGCTGTAACACAGGTACAAACAATAGCTAACAGTACAAGGAGAACAATTTCTACCCAAGCACGCCATGATAGGCATCACGAGCTGCATTTGGACATCCTCCCTCCTGTCCTGCATCAGGAATCAGCCTGAAAAAGGAGAATCAAAATCCAGCCTTGGATTCCAACAGCAAGATGCTTTTCCAAGAACAGCATGTCCTGGAGGCTGGTAGGTAGGGAGGCTGACAGCTCATCACACAGCATTTCCCCATTGTGTGGGGGGTTCTGTTTCAGTCACAGGCTCCCTGCAGCATCACCTGCTGTGTGATGCTTCAAGGGTCACATGGAGATTGAGGAGATTCTTAACCAGTGGCTAATCACAGGCTGTGCTTTGTTTGCTTGGAGGAACTGAGCTCAGCTAAAGCTAAGCTGAGGGTAACTTTCCCAATCAGTCACAGTCTAACGATTTTCCTCTAAAAATGCTATATGTGGCTTGATGCTGCAAACAAGTGCCCTGGATCAATAGTCCTGGCAAGTGAAACTGCCTCTTTGGAAAGCTTCCCTTTTTTTTTTCTTCTGTCACTGTCAATTTCTTTTACTACTTTAGCCTCTTATCCCCAAATCAAGGCATTTCTGAAAACCCACATCAGCCAGAAATTTAGTGCAGGCCACAGTGTTCCAGTTCCCATGGTATGCTGCCTTCCCCAAACTCTAGAGCAGCCTCCTCTAAGAGGCCTTGGAAAGGATGCACCAAAGCCATCTCTCTCACTCCCATTTTCAGTTAAACTGGAACCATTCCTTCCATGGCTAATATTTCCTATGGAAGATAAATTCTTGGTTGCTGTTCTAGGGATGCATGGTACTCAGCTATGAGGTCTCCCTCCCAGTAGAAAACTGGCATAAAACAAATTAATGTGTATTTGTGATGCCAGCTCTGCACAGGGTAATTTTCACATTGGCACTAGGTCATCCATGGTCCAGTTCCCTGGATGACCAGCTGTTGTGGGATGAGGTAAGAGATGAGAATCTGACTCCAATTTTCCAGAAGGTGGATTTATTATTTTATGATATTATATTAAAGGAAATTATATACTAACACTATACTAAACTATAGAGAAAAGAATTAATCAGAAGGCTAGACAAGAATGATAATAAAAACCCATGACTGACCAGAGAGTCAACACAGCTGGACTGGGATTGGTCATTAAGTAAACACAATTCACATGGAACCAATCACAGATGCACCTGTTGGTAAGCAACCTCCAAACCACATTCCAAGCAATCCGATAATTGTTGTTTACATTTCTTTTCTGAGGCTTCTCAGCTTCTCAGGAGAAAAATCCTAGCGAAGGGATTTTCCATAA